CTCCTCCTCCGGCTCTGCTGCCGGTGATGCAGCCGGTTCCTTCCCCAGCTCTGCTGCCAGTCACCCAGCCAGCTCCTCCTCCGGCTCTGCTGCCGGTTCCCTCACCGGCTCTGCCGACAGCCTCTGAGCCGGCTTCTCCACCGGCACGGCTGCCGGTTGCGTGGTCAGTTCTCTCGGGGCCCGCTCTGGCCCCACCCCTTGTCTTCCCCGCAGCCGAGTGCGGCGGCTCATCCCCTCCACGCGAGGGCTCGCTCCTCCGGTCTCATCCTGTCAGCCGCCCTGCTGCCTCGTCGGGGTCACTTTTTATCCCTTCCGGGCAGTGTCCTCTGCCCCTGCTGCTCTGCCGCAGCTGAATAAACGCCCGGCTGATCACCCGCGCTGGCGTTTTCGGCGTGCGCGCCTCCTCCGGCTCTTCCAGCTCTACGAGAAGTAAGTGGGACTCTTTGCTGCCCTGGGGTTCCTTTGTTGCCCCATCTCCCTTGGGACAATGTGAATGGAATAGCAGACTTGGTGGGATAGCTCACGTGACTGGAGCATTGTCATGGACGGGTACAAACTGTTCAGTTTTTGATTAGGCATGGATTAGACACGTGCTTTGATCAATCCCCGCTAGTTTTCATGGGGGACTTCAATCACCCTGACATCTGTTGGGAAGGCAATACAGCAGTGTGCAGGCAATCTGGGAAGTTTTTGGAGAGTATTGGGTACAACTTCATGGTGCAGGTGCTGGAGTGGCCAAGTAGGGGCCATGCTCTTCTTGACCTGCTGCTCACAAACAGGGAAGAATTGGTAGGGGATGTAGTAGTGAATGGCAACTTGGGCAGCAGTGACCACAAGATGATTGTGTTCAGGATCCTGAGGAAAGGAAGGATGGAGAGCAGCAGATTAAGAACCCTGGACTTCAGAAAAGCAGATTTCAACTCACTTAGGAAACTCATGGGGATGATCCTGTTGGAAGCCAGACTGAGGGGGAAAGAAGTTCAGGAGATCTGGCTGTACTTCAAAGAATCCTTACCGAGCGTGCAGGAACAAATCATAACAATGTTCAGGAAGACTAGCAAGTATGGCAGAAGACCACCTTGGCTTAGCGGGGAACTCTTCAGTAAACTAAATCACAAAAAGGAAGCTTATAAGAAGTGGAAACTTGGACAAATAACTAGGGAAGAATATCAGATCATTGCTCGGGCATGCAGGGAAGGCCAAAGGCCATCGGTTGAAGTCAGGAAGGCCAAAGCACAATTGGAGTTGCAGCTAGTAAGGGATGTGAAAGGTAACCAGAAGGGTTTCTAGAAGTATGATGGTAGCAAGAGGAGGATCAGGGAAAATGTAGGTCCCTTACTAAATGAGGGAGACAGCTTTGTGACAGAGGATGCAGAAAAGGCTGAAGTGCTCAATGCCTTTTTTGCTTCAGTCTTCACAGGTAAGGTTAGCTTCCAGACTACTGCACCGGGCAGCACAGTTTGGGGAGGAGGTGAGCAGCCCTCAGTGGTGAAAGAACCAGTTAGGGACTACTTAGAAAAGCTGGATGTGTACAAGCGCATGGGGCCGGATGGGATGCACCCAAGGGTGCTGAGAAAGTTGGCTGATGTGATTGCAGAGCCATTAGCCATCATTTTTGAAAATTCATGGCAGTCAGAAGTCCTGGTTGATTGGAAAAGGGCAAACTTCATGCCCATTTTTAAGTATGGGAAGGAGGATCCAGGGAACTACAAACCAGTTAGCCTCACCTCAATCCCTGAAAAAACAATGGAGCAGATCCTCAAGGAATCCATTTCTAAGCACTTGGCAGAGAAAATGGTGATTAGGAACAGTCAGCATGGGTTCACCAGGGACAAGTCATACCTGGTCAACCTGATTGCTTTCTATGATGAGGGGATTGAATCTGGATGTGGGGAGACTGGTGAATGTGGTATACCTTGATTTTAGCAAGGCTTTTGATACGGTCTCCCACAACAGTCTCGTAGGCAAGCTAAGGAAGTATGGGCTGGATGGATGGACTGTAAGGTGGATAGAAAACTGGCTGGAGCTTAAGGCTCAGAGTAATAATCGATGGCTTGATATCTAGTTGGCAGCTGGTATTAAGTGGAGTGCCTCAGGGGTAGGTCCTAAGGCCAGGATTGTTCAGTGTCTTCATCAGTGACCTGGATGATTTCATAGATTTCATAGACATTAGGGCTGGAAGGGACCTCAGAAGATCATCGAGTCCAGCCCCCCGCCCGAAGGGGCAGGAAGTCAGCTGGGGGTCATAGGAATTTATGGTAGAGAGGGCACCCTCAGCAAGTTTGCAGATGACACCAAGCTGGCAGAAGTAGTAGATATGCTGGAGAGTAGGGCTAGGATTTAGAGTGACTTAGACAAATTGGAGTATTAGGCCAAAAGAAATCTCATGAGGTTCAAGAAGGACAAGTGCAAAGTCCTGCACTTAGGATGGAACAATCCCATGCACCGGTACAGGCTGGGGGCTCAGCTTTGCAGAAAAGGACCTGGGGGTTACAGTGGACAATAAACTGAATATGAGCCAGCAGTGTGC